ATGGTTTGAAAAGCGAGGTGTACTGTGATTGGCCAGCTATCCAGTGCATTGTGATTGGCCGAATTCCTGAAGCATGTGACGGAAATGTTACGCCCCTTACCATACTGTGATGCCGTGTCCCGGCCGGAGCGACGAGACAAAAACATTAAAACCCATTATAAATGAGGCATTTGTTGCATCCTGTGGGGACATAATTACTGATTATAATGACTTATACTGTCTTTTTACGCGTTGCGTTGCATCGCGCCGCGCCATAAATGCATATAATTAAAGTCTACTGTGTTTCACAGTCCGCACATAGGCTATGGCTTTTTGGCTGGGTTTAAAGGAAAAGAGCACTTTTAGATAAACAAGGCAATAATAGATGGCGCTCGTGGAGGTCGGAAAAAGTTCTTTATGAACCGCAGGATTGCTTGTAATAAAGATTTAAATGCAAAAGAAAAGGCAGTAGAGCTGACTGTTTCTGTCAATGGTAAGTTTTAATTTAGAATGTTTGTGATAACGTAAGAAAAGTAGTTTAAATGTTTTGCCACTTGCTTGAGCAGCTTAATATGTGAATGTAGAAGTAAATGCAAAAAAAGTATTGAATAATGTGTTTCTTATATTTATTGCGTTTAAACACGTCTAACCAAATACACAAAATAATGTTCCTTTTAACGACATCATATGACCCCTTTAAAATGTTTTGCCACTTGCTTGAGCAACTTAATATGTAAATGTAGAAGTAAATGCAAAAGTAAAAAGCATTGAATGTGTTGCTTATATTTATTGCGTTTAAACCCGTCTATGAAAGATTGTATTACTGAACGGTGTAAAAAAAGAATCACAATGCTGAAAAAGCATTTTCAGTAACAATGTTTGGATTTCAAATCAAAATAATGATAAATGTTGTGTTTGTAGTAAAGAGCCAGGGATCAGTTGCTGACACTTGTGTGAAAGCACAGTCAGTGCTGCTTCTGCACCGATTACGTACCGCACATGGACTTCATACGCACTGCAAACGGAGTATATGTGAACCTCACATACAGCTGACAAAGTCAGGCTTGTGCTGTGTGTAAGCTATTGTGCAACAATTGCATGATTGTAAAAATGCAGTGCATGATCAAACATTTAGGTGAGATAAATATATATTTTTGAAAAATGTCCCCATACCTCTCAAATGAAAAAAAAAACTCCCTCTCACAAGAGACATCTAAGAGGGGAATTCATTTTCAAAAATGAAATTCAGGCCCTGAATAAATGTCTAAAAATCTTGATTGGATCATCACTATAAATAATTCTACATGATAAAAAGAAGGCTTTAAAAAGATCGGTATCGGTGATCGTATCGGCAGATACTGCTTTCTGTGATCTGCCTCAAAAATCCTGATCGGAGCACCCCTATTTGTAACATTATACATGTTTTGACTATCACTTTTGAACAGTGTAATTATCCTTGCTGAATAAAAGTATTATTTGAAATTAAAATAATTTTTCTGACCCCACACTTTGAAACGGTGGTCTACATGGTACATAGACAGAATTAAGTAAAAATGTGTTTGTTTTCAGGGTCAGTGTCAAGACTGTAAAGTCGGGGGACCAAACCTTTGGGCTTGTCTCGAGGTAAGTTATCTTTATATTAAGTAATGTTTCTCCACAAGTTTGGTGTATAATGGGGATGCACCGATATTAAAATCCTGCAGCAATGGGGATTAGCTGCAAATTATTTTAACATTAATACCTGATAACCGATAAATGGCTGATATTAAAATGATATACTATTTTGTGTAAAAAAAGGAAAACGAAAATTAATAATAATAATAATAATAAAAACTCTTAAATTACTTTTTATATGTCTGGGTGAAAAAAAAAATCTATTTTTTTTTTTAAATTCTTGATTATTGAAAGCTAGTTTATAGTGAAGCCTGTAGAGTAGCTATAATTTAATTTCATGTATATCTTTCATTCAGAATGGCTGTTCATATGTTGGCTGTGGGGAATCACATGCGGACCACAGCACTTTCCACTCTCAGGTTAGTCATCTTATTCTTTGTTTCTACTGTTTCTGTGTAATAATTATTCAAATTAATGCGCTTTATATTTTAATTACAGTAATTTACTACATTTTATTGTTTAAATTTGTTTTGCGTGAGTGTACTTACAGCTTAAGATGTTTTCACCCACAGCGAGTATATAGCATTACAGCTCTACGATTACTTTTGTAGGTTGATTTAGACAGGTGAATCTGATCCCTGATCACATGTGTCACTGTGTTAGTTTCATGTCTCTTATTCTGGTTGTGACTGGAGACTTAAATGATGCAATGAATCGCTGAAGTGTGATTTGAATTCCAGGCTGGCCTGTGGGTGAACTCATCCATTATTAATCAGCACTCCAGTGGGGATCTCCCTTCCCACTAAAGCCCATTTTGATTACCCATTACTAAAACCCCATAATGCTCTCAAAACACCCTTGTGCCTGTGTGAGAGCGACTGAGAGAAGACAGAGCCATCAGCCATACTTCCGCCACAATAACCTGCGTTTGCTGCAGTAAACAAAATTCAGCCCATGTTTTTTCTTTCACTAAGCTGTTTTCCTCTAGCAGGGTGCTTGTGGGTATAGAGCACTGCAGTGAAGATGTGTTTTTGTAGGTGAACAAGGAAGTTCCCCGGACAAAAACCCAATGAGATTTTTCCATTGGCTTTTGGATTATTGCGGAAAATAAGCTTTGTGACCAATGAAAGCATAAGATTTGGTTCATAATGATAATTTTTCACGAATTAACACAAAGGGCCTCATTCATGAAACTTGCGTACATATATGAGTAAATTCTGAGTAATTTGTGTGCAAAACAGACCTTCCCGAAAACTCTCCTCCGGATTCACAAACTCTTCGTAAACGTCCGATTTGATATTTAAACATGTATGTTAATGAATTCCAATCATTCGTAATAGGGCGCTCGTGCACGCTCATTCACAATTTGCATAATCCCCGCCTATAAATGACAGCTACGCAAATTGCGTGTCCAGGAACGCAGTGGAATATTCTGGTCTACTTTCTCAGGTTTGGCTCCAGTATATTGCATAAATGCAAAAAAGACTAGGCCATATGCCTAACAATAAATATTCAATAATGTGTGTGACCACCAAAGAGTTTTTAGCCAGCTGAAAAAATGTCAGGCGCTCTTCTTAAAACGACCAGCTGGTAGCGCTTGAGAATGCTTTGGTGGCACAGCGTTTTCCCAGCTGAGACACTTTAGTTGCTATGGTATGGAATATTAAAGGCGGCAACGTATTAGCCTACTAGTATCTCATTTTTAAGAATTTTGCTAAATATAATAAAGCAGTAACCAGTAATATTGACTTCTCCATCGTTGTAGGCAGTCGTTGTCGTTGTTGGCAGTCGTAGGGAGCAGGTGTACATTTCTTTCGTATCAACTAAAATTTTGAAAATACGAACATTTTCATGAATTCGAAAGTTTACGTCAGAACGGCTTTATGAACGATTTACACAAAAATTCGTTCTGCTCGTGTTTCATGAATGAGGCCCATTGTTTGTGAATTTTGAAGCTTAAATGCAATCGGCAGAAGTAAAACAACGTAGACTATAAGTGAACTATACCACGGTTGCATGACCAAAACACAAGGCTAGTGAGTAGATGATTTGCAAAAAGGCCTAATACCAATTTGATAATGCTCAGTTCAGAAATATCAATAAAAACTTTTAATCACATATTTTTTTTTAAAGATTTTTCTTTCCTCCATAAGTTTCCATTTAAATTCACTTAGTCAAAACAACAAAAGCAGTCAAATGTCTTGGTTTTAATGACGACAAAAGAAGTGTTCAACGCGTCTCATTTAACTTAGAAACTGCAAAAAAAAGAAAAATATGTTTATATGTAATTTTCTGTTGCTCTTTTGATGTAGTAATACCCACAGATGTAGCAGAAAACATCTGGGTCATGTTTGCATTTTCTTCTGTTACTGGCCATAATTCTAACCTTGAAATCAGGATTAGGCATAAAATAATTTCTTTAGAATCATTCATACATGTAAAAATCAGCCGAGAATTCAACAAATAGTTTTAACCTGGCTCAGAGGAAGATAGAAATCATGTGTTTGTTTGTCTTTGATTAAGGGATGGTACAAGACTTATTTACAAATAGATGTTGAAAGCAAAAATGCTACAAAATGCACATCATATTTTGTATCTTTGGAATCAGCACCTCAAAATTAGTAAGAAACGAGTATTCAATGTCATTCAGCCAATATTATGTAGGGTGATGTTTTTATAATTTTTTCAATTGTGTAAATTGCCAGGATCATGAGTGCATTGGGCATACCACAATTTATAATGTAGATTAGTTTTCTATTATGTTACCCTTGCTGTGCTGTGAATTAAAATGCATATGGGCATGTACAACATCCTATCCATTACCGAAATGGTCGAAGTAGCAGATTTTTCAGGGTTTGTATTTTGGCGCAGCTCTCATAAATGTTTTAACTTCCCCTGTCTAGCTGCAGTTGCACCAGTTCTAGTGCTGCAGTGAAAGCCAATCCAGACACATGAATAATGTAGAGACCCCTTTGCCCCCGCTGTGTGCGTGCCCAGGCTTCACATCGCCACTTCCCATTTCCCCTGGTACATTTTCGCTCTTGTTGCAACAACACAGTTGTGTTTTGCCCTAAATTTTTGAAGCCTTTCTGTTGCATTGTAGGCTTCATATATAGAGAAAGAGCACAGGACTCAGACTGCCTTTATTTAGGAAGTAAAAAGGCAGTGATATAGAAATGTTGGCTTAATGAATAGCAGCAGATATTTTAAATCTATACTGTTTTGTGAAATGATAATAAAAAAACGGGTTCACAATAAAGCTTCAGTGTTGAATTTGACATGTTTTAAATCATTCAAAACTATTCAAGCCATTTAAAGATTTAAACAGAACCAATGATTTTTTTCCATACAAAACAACTGTAGGGCGATTACTGGTTGATTTTAGTTGTAATATTCATTGGTTCATTTACAAAATGTATAACAGGATTTGAACCCAACCCCCATGCAAGATATAAAATTACACCACTAGACTCATGATTCACAGTCAGAAAATAGGTAATTGGCATAAAAAAGAGTTTTCTCGATAAATTGGGGATGATTCATTCAGATGAATGCTAATGCTTCTGTTACTACTACTACTACCACTAATTATGATCAAAGAAGCTGATATTGATATGCTCACCGATGTATTGTGCAGCTCTAGTTATTGCTTTTTTTTTTTGGTAATATATGGAGAGGGGTTTTTTTTGTTTGTTTGTTTATTTATTTATTTATTTTTTTGCACGTTGAACATTAAACTTGCAGATAAGCATTTATTTCCATGTAAATGTCCATCAAAGCGCTGTGGCTTTTTCTTCCAGGAGACACGGCACAACCTGACGGTGAATCTGACCACTTTGAGAGTGTGGTGCTATGCCTGTTCCAAGGAGGTTTTCCTGGAAAGAAAACTGGGTCCACATGCACAGTTGCCCAGCGCTGCCAAGCCCATCTCCGCAGTACAGACTCCCAGCCCGGTCAGAACTCTTACGCAACTTTCTGTGAATGCAAAGCAAAGTTTAGAAGTTTGGTTGTGCTTAGATAAAATCCTCCTTTATATTTAAAACATTGCCTTTGCTTTTGCTTGATTTAAAAATGACTATAAATGTTTGCATAGAAGACAAGACCAATCACTGTCATGCAAATATATGTAAGACCAAACACCAATCACAATTCAGTATGTAAATTTTGTCATCATTTTTGTCAGTTATATCAGTGGTGATGGAAATTTGTTTTAATTAAATGTAATTAAAATCTCTAATAATTGATTTTGAGATTGCAGGTTTTCTGAACGTTGTTTAGGGGCACACAACTACACTTGCCTTTTTTTTTTTTTTTTTTGCAAAAGGCGTGCTGTTGCTGATCTTCTTCCATTGTCTTTCTGGTTCTCAGGACCCCAAAGCTCCTGGGAGCCCCACCTCGCTGAGAGTTCCTCCAGCAGGAACCTGTGATGACCTGGATATAGAGACTGAGGAGGAGGATGAACTGAGGACCAGAGGTCCTTCATCTCTCATGTCTGGTGTTCTGTGCATTTGCTCTGCGTTCCATACTGTCAGTCTGAACCTTGTCGTCTGTTCCTCCTCACAGGTCTGACTGGACTGAAGAACATTGGCAATACCTGCTACATGAACGCAGCTCTCCAGGCGCTTTCCAACTGGTAAGAACCCCAATAATCAATAGTGTTTTTATCTTAGTGTCCTAATTGTTCTCTTTCAGTCTAGTTTGGCTCTGGTTTAATCAATCTCTCTTTCTGGTTTATCTTCTAGTCCTCCACTGACACAGTTTTTCCTGGACTGTGGTGGTCTGGTGAAGACCGACAAGAAGCCAGCGCTATGCAAGAGCTATCAGAAACTCATCACAGACCTTTGGCACAAAAACAGGTACATTCTTCTCTTGTCATTTCCTATTTAAGTGTAATTTTTCAGGTATTTTTTTCCTCTTTGCTATTTTTTAACCTTCTTTGCTCTTGTTTTGTGTGGTTGCAGGAACTCCTATGTTGTTCCTACAAATCTATTCCAGGGCATTAAGGCTGTAAACCCAATGTTTCGTGGTTATTCCCAACAGGTATGTTTTCTTAAATTAATTTGTGTTAAAGCATTAGGGATGCACAGATATTAAAATTATGGCTTACATTATCGTTTGCGGTCAGTCATATTTATATTTTATAACAGAGAACAAACAAAAAACTTACTGACCACAAACATTTGAACATTAATTTATTTTAAAATATATTTAGTCTAAATTAATCTAAAAAGTAAAACCCTAAAAATGCTTTAAATGCTACAAGTGACTTTAAGCATTACAGCATTATAATGTACAGTATAAAAATACATTAATTTCGAAGTTTGCGGAAGATTACATTTACCAGAGTTTATTGATTAGATGATGGCAAGGCAATCTAAATGTTTTAATGCTTATGCACTTGTGTCTTGTAATATTGTCAGATAAATATACAGTATTGACTATGATATGATAATATGATTGGCTGTTAAAATTGGCTGTTAATGATATAATACCAACTTATTGTGAAATGTATTTTTTCATGCATGTTTTAATTGATAGAGTAAATGTCTTTTGTGCAGAACTTTATTTGACAAATAGGTAGTTTTATTTTAAGGTAATTGTTGTATTTTCATTTGATTACATTTTAAAAGGTTGATTAAAGGGTTAGTAGTTCACCCAAAAATGAAAATTCTGTCATTAATTACTCACCCTCGTGTTGTTCGAAACCCATAAGACCTTCATTCATCTTCGGAACACAATTTTCGTCTCTACTGCGTTACTTTGATGACGTCATTATGCCGGATCTGGGTTAGCGCCGCCACACGCTCGCATCATGATACTGTAGTGAACGCGCGTCCAAAGAGACGCAGTAGAGACGAAAATGTGGAATAAAGTCGTTATTTTTGTTTTCTTTGCGCAAGAAAGTATTCTCGTAGCTTCGTAACTTTACAGTTGAACCACTGATGTCACACGTGACTACTTTGTCGATCATCTTGGTACTTTTCTGGACTTTGATCGTGTTAATTACATTGCTGTCAATGGGAGGGTCAGAGAGCTCTCAGATTTCATCAAAAATATCTTAAATTGTGTTCCGAAGATGAACGAAGGTCTTACGGGTTTGGAACAAAACGAGGGTGAGTAATTAATGACAGAATTGTCATTTTTGGGTGAACTAACCCTTTAAATTATTGTTTTTAGAGTTCATGTAATTGCCAGAGTTTTTTTTTTTTTTAAGATATATTTATGGCGTTTTATGCCTTTATTTAGATAGGACAGTATAGGTCGACAGGAAGCGAAGTGGGTGAGAGGTGAGAGAGAGGGGGATGGGATTGGGAAAGGTCTGCAAGCCGGGACTCGAACTCGGGACGCCCGAAGCACAATGGCGCTGTATATCGGTGTGCTTCCCACGAGGCCATCGGCACAGACATTACCACAGTTTTTAATGGTGAATTTGTATTGGATCATAAAACACGGAATCCAGAAAAAAAAATCTAAAAAAGGACAATTTCATAGGCCATATTATTGTTAAAAAATATAAATAATTAAATTGTACAATTTTTATGAATTTAGTTGATTAAACATGCATTTTGATGATTCTGATTTAATGAAACTCTTACACTGGTATCCAGAATAAATAAAACATAACACACAAAATTTGGGAAAAATATAACTGATTTCATAGGGCCCCAGAATTCTTATTAAAATAATTTTTTGTATAGGCTCATCCTGACCAGCCCAACATAGTTTACCAATGGTGTGAGTTTGAGGCGTGACTTTTCAGTTCACCCAGTGGCA